TTATGTTAATTTTGAAGGGAGGGTTTCTTTACAACATCCTGCTATCATTAAAAAAAATTCTTTACATCCTGCGTAATGCTGAATAGCTTTTGAAGCTTCAGTTAAAGAAATCTTGGGTTATGCTGCTTGAATCCACTGTGGTCAGTCCATTTCAAAGCAATCAAAGATGGGCTTCAGCAGAACCAATGCAAAGTGAATGGATCAGTCGAACTAAGATTCTACTTAGATGTTCATGCATCATGGGTGCACATTTATTATCATATTTGCCATCATTATCATTATTATTATTATTTTTATTATTTTTTGATGAACCTCCCGCGCCCGTCGCCGCCACAGGTACCAGAGCAACTTTGTCCACCAAGGTTAGAACAGATGAGAAGAAATCACCTAGAGTTTTTTGTCTTTGGGACTTGAAGTTTGAACTTGTGACCTCAAGGTGCTCAATTCACTTCATTGACCACTAAGCGACACCCAAGTGGATGCGTGTTAATTTCATGTTGAGCAGTATTTAGTGTTTTATGCTCTATGTAATTTACTTATCCCAGCAACCTTCTCCATGCTAACTGACCACCCCTTTGGATAATATATGGAAAAAGGAAGAGAGAGGAGAAAAGAAGAATGTCTGCAAATATTTAATGATTTTATTTCTTTTAGCCCTGCATGTCTGGACCAGGAAATGTGAATTGCTTCTCTCTGCACGAGGCATTTTGTTGCTATTATGTTCTTGACAACAAGTAATTTGTGTGACATCAATCATCCTTATTAATCATACTTCATGCTGATGCATCTTGACAGGGGAAGATAGCGAGGCAGCAGACTATTTTAATGGTGATGCACTTTTAACTCCAAAGACAAAGATAAAAATGCAGACTGTTGAACAGCAGAGACACATTCTGCGGATGCTGGAGAAGTCTTTGGCCAGAGAGTTAGATCTTGAGAAGAAGCTTACTGAATCTAGACAAGTTGAAGAAGAATTAGAAGTCAGGTTGCAGCAAGAAGCTTTATACATGGAGGAAGAAATTGAAGATGCTTCGCAAAGGTTGTTTGAGGGAGAGAATGCTGCTGAAGTCCTTTTAGGAATTTCAAAATCACTACTGGGTCGACTCCAGATGGCACATTTTAATCTGAACGGTACTGTTCAGAAAGAAAGCTACTTACAGTCTAAACTTCAAGAAATGGAGGAACATTTAAAAGCAAAAGACAACTTGCTAGGGAAGTTTGAAAGCACTTCTAAAGAGCTCGGGGACAAGGTTAAATCTCTTGAGAAACGGTTGGAGGACTCTGAGTTCCAGCTGTCCAATTATACAGCATCTGCAAAGAAAAGTCAGGAGTTAGAATCTGAGATCCTTGAAATGGAGGATATAATCAATACGTTGAAGGAAAAGAATTCTGAAGCAGAGAGAAGAATTGATACAGCAGAAACTGAGTGTAAAATATTGAAAGAAGCAAATGTGGAACTTGACAAAGAGCTGAACTTCCTGAAAAGCAGTAGTAGCATTACTTCTGAGAGGATAAATGTGCTTGAAAAACAGCTGAGGGACTCTGAGCTTCGACTTCAGCATGCAGTTGCATCTGCTGAAGCTAGTCAGGAGAAGCAAATCATGTTGAATTCTACAATCCAAGACATGGAAGATTTGATTGAGGATCTAAAATCTAAGGTTTCTAAAGCCAAAAGTTTGATGGAGAGTGCTGAAGATAAGTGCATTATCTTGTCAGAATCTAACTCAGATCTCAATGAAGAATTAACTTTTGTGAGGAGTAGGTTGGCATGTTTGGAGTCATCGTTACGCCAAGCTGAGGAAATGAAGAAGGCTACTGCCCGAGATATTAACTTCCGCAGTAAATTGATAACAGATCTAATTTTGCAATTGGCTCTTGAAAGAGAGAGACTTGAAAAACAGGTTTGTCACTCCTTACTGACTCTCATTCCTGTTATGACTGGAATTATCTTGATAACATTTACGACTTTTCTTTTCCTCCATCTATCCAGTTATTTTGAGTTTTTTTGTCTATTGACATGGTTAATGGGCTTAAATGCCGATTGACGACTGTGCGTAATTGAATACCAGTTACTAATCTGAAACTGCCTAGAATTATGCCTAACAATGAGATGGCATTTGGATAACACAACATTTTATGTCAATTTTTTTTAATTATTATTCATAGACTTTGGTGGAACCTTAGCAGCATCATAAATTTAATGACTTCTAAAATGCAGTTGTTGTGTGTGCAAGCTTGTCTGTATAATTGATGCATTTTGTCTTTTTCCTTTTTACTTGTTTCAGCAGCAATATCTGTTCATTCGGTCGAGTTTGACATTTTCTCACTCTGGATTTAGTCTAACTTTTCAGAGTTCGTGACCATATAGATCACTAATCATTAGAAGTATGTCTTACTGATAATATATATGCATAGACGCGCACACAGATCCCATGCACACATATTCTTGTTTGACAAAGAAGTGTTTTAAACGTCAGGTATTCTCGAGTTTCCAATGATATCTACAGGCTCACATATTAAGGTTCTATCCTTCCAGTAACACTAACACTTGTACAGTTACCAGTGACTCCTTTCACTGAGAAAAAGCAGTCATGGTCAAAGGAAAGGAATGAAAATGGGCTGAAGTAGAGCAAGTTTGTGCACACCTGAAAGTTTTAATGGTGTTTGTTGATAATTACTACAGCAACCTTTCGTTGCAACGTTTGCTCTTATTGCAGGAAGAAATTAGCTGAAAAGGAAGAGTTGAAAGAGCTTTACAAGACGATTTTGACCATTATTAATAAGATTTGCTCGATATTAAAATTAGTTAGTCAGTCTTTCAAAATAGTTAGTTTTTATAAGTAGAATCTGCGATGTGCTTAGCTTGTGACAAGTTATTCAGTTTCCAGCTTGTCCTTTTGTGGTTAAAGTTAGTTATTCTTTTCCTGCATGACTTCTTCATGGAAGAGAGTTCCTTTGGACTAAATGTTAGAACAAGGGCATTGTTTGAAGACTATTATTATTTGGGTAATTGTATAATTTTCTCATTCAGATTAGTGTTTTTCTGCAAAAAATGTTCAGATTTCTTTGCTGATAATGGAAAATAAGGCCCAGAAGAAGCTTTTTCAGCAAAAGGATAAAGTTCCTTCGCCAGCTCCCCCAAGTGATGGCAAAGATACCAGGGAATCCATGCTTCCCAAGGCTGAGCTTTCTGCTGCAACTTCTCCGAATGAATGCAAGGAAGAAATATCTAAGTTCTCATCAATAACTAATGTAGTACGTGCTTTATTCCATGTTATGCTTATTTTTATACACGAGTCATATGTTCTTCTGGTTTTGTCAGTATTTTGATTTACTATTTTAGATGCCAGTCAACTATTATATTTTGATGATGTACATTCCATTATCAACCAAATAACCTTAGCTGTGTGCTTGTGCCTTTAAGTGAAAAAAATTCTTGAGTACTTCGTGTTTACCCAAAGCTAAAGTTATTTGGTTGACAACTTAGAAAAGGAAAGACACCTAGCTCTGTTGTGACACTACTGTTTCTGCTGTTCATTTTCAGGAAGAGAATGTTTCTGGAGACTTTATGTCGAGTGAGTCAAAAGAGACTGATTCTTCAACCAGACTTGATGCCTCGCGGGACATAGATGCAAGGCAGCTTAATTGGAAGTATGTCCTTACAGCAGTTCTTGTGTTTTTGATATCCACAGTGGTAACCTTTTTAATGCAGAACCAGAGTATCCAGCTTTGATAGTGCTCGAGATTTTTGTTATTCGATCAAGAGACCCTCGGCATTAGGCACTCCTCAGAAATCTTTAGGCCTACCTTCATCGTGTACTCCCTTACTGTTTGTCACCAGTAGATATCACTGTGTAGAGTGATGTCTTTGCGCATCTAGTTCATGGTGATGAGTATGAACTTTGGAGCCCGGTAGAGAAGAGGAAACGATCTCCCTCCCCCACCTCTTTGTGACTAAATAGCAGTTTCTTACACATGCATAGTTTTGCCATTCAGATTTTGTCAGCTTTACAAATTAGTGTTCAGTAGAAGTTTGGAAGTACAAACAGTGGCTCAGCCATTCAACAGAAGAATACTGAAAATCTTGCAATTGTTGTACACATTTGAAGGCTACTTGTTCCTCTCTTTCTTGTTTATTGCCAAGTGCTTTAAGATCATTTCTCTATGTAGTTAATCAACTTAGGGCTTGTTTCGTACGTGCAGTGTGATAGATAAGGATATTTCATGGGTTGCGATATTCCACCTTCTACTTCATGCACATTCTGAAGCATTTTATAAAAATGAATAAAGCAATGTTGCATCATTATAATCATCAAAACAAACTAGAGAAGCATCAGTGCATCAATTACCTTTTTTAGTTCAAACATTGATAACATATGCAAACAGCAAACATTAAGTTGCCGGAGTACGCGCATAATACGATTTTATTCACTTGTGTACACTAGCAGTCTAGCACTCATTTTGTAATTATTACATGCCTACTCAGGTTTTATTTGACGCGAAATTCAAAAATAAAAAGGATTTTAAATTTGGGGTTTTGATTTGATGCGAAATTCAAAAATAAAAAGGGTTTTAAATTTGGGGTGTGTTCATGTTTTTTTATGGAGAATAGTTTGTATGAAAATAAGTGGGTTTATGCTTCTTCTTGTATTATCAATTCAATATTAATATTTATTTTGATTGTTACTTAAATTTTATTGTTCGTATTATTAAATCTATTGTTAAGTAATGATAAAAATTAAAAAGTTCCATTTTCGTGTAAATGATCAACTTGATGTGATTTTTATATCGTTATCATATTTTTTTCCTTCCAATTTTGTTTTTATTTATTACTAATAATTCTATTTTATTTTTCATTTGTCTTTTAATAGTAGCTCTATTTTGTAATTTTTTTTTTTTTTTTGAAATCTTATCTTGCAAATTATTTAATGTGTTACTCATCATGTGGCACATTTACTTTTTTATTCCCTTATAATATAAATATCTAAGGATGTACCCAATTCATTAAATAATGTGAGTAACAGTAATGACGTATATTATTTTTTCAGCGACGAAAGAGAAATTAATTTGCTAGTTGTCTACCACCCGAAGTCACCGAAAAAGATTGTGAAACCAGCAAAATTGGATCAATGGCAACTCCCATTTTCTCTAAAGGTTGAAGTTTGAATCATCAATTTGTTTCTTCAGCTCAATGGCGGAAGTTTCTGGAATCCACCGTTTCCACCTCCCTCAAACTATCTATGCTACCGTCACTGATGATGATGATGATGATGAAGAGTACTCACATCCGTTTGCTTTTGATTTCGACTCACTTTCTCCTCCTAATCACACCCTTTTTATCCACTCTCATGATTTCAACTACAGCCCCAATTCGGAACCCGAACCCGGTTCCCTAGATTCAGATTCGGGTTCGGATCACTCGGGTTTGCTTGCAGATCCGGATTCCTTTATCGTTGATGATGACCAAATGAATTTTGTTACGGATCTGTTTGTGACCCCTGATGGAAACGTTTCAGAAGATTCGGGTTTTGATAATGGGAATAGGGTTGTTCTAGAGGATGTATACGGTGATTTTGGATCTGATTTTGATGGGGTTCTTCTTCCCTCAGATTCCAACGGACTTGATACGGGTGATGGGATTCGGGTTGTGGGTATTGGGTCGGATTCTGATTCGCAAGAAGTGGAGCTGAATGTTGGGGATATTAATCAGGCCAATGGTTTTTGGAATTGTCTTCGGATTGATGATGAGAGGGATGTGAATGACGAGTTTGAGTGGGAAGAAGTCAATGAAAGGGGTGAAGATAGAGACTATTTGAGTTCTGTAATTGATGGAATTGAAGAAATATCAGTTTCTTCAGATATTTCATCTTCTGAAGGAGGGAACTCGAATTCGGGTTCAGTTGATGAGCCGGTGAGGAGTTTAGAGTGGGAAGTTCTGTTGGCCGTTGATAATATTGAAAGAAGCCTCGAACTTGATGGAAATGATGATGGGATTTCTCATGTAAACGAAACTGATCACGATGCCTTGTTTGGGCAATTTCTGGAGAGTGAAGGGACTTTGAAGGGTAGTCCACCAACAGCTAAATCTGTTATTGAAAATCTTCCTTCGGTGGCTTTGAAGGACGAAGTGAACAAGATAGCCTGTGCTGTTTGTAAAGATGAGATTTTGGTTGTGGAGAAGGTGACTGAGCTTCCTTGTTCCCATTATTACCATTGGGAATGTATTATACCATGGTTAAACATACGTAATACATGCCCTGTTTGTCGTCATGAGTTACCCACGGATGATACTGATTATGAGAGGAGAAAAATTGGAAGGCGTACCGGTGCTGGAGCTCAACTCATTAGTGACTTTCAGGTTAGATACAATTTTGAAATTGTCCCTTGAGACTTTTTCTTGTTCATACACAGATATCATAGGATGTGCATATTCCCTTAGTGGTGAGTATGTTGATTCTTTTTATAGACTGTTTCTTTCTTTAATTTTTTGGTACAATGTATGTTTGTAAGAGTTCCAGTTTGTATGACAGTATGAAATTTATACTTGCTGTAATTGTACCATTAGGCAGTGAGACAATGTAAAAGGATTATTGAGTCATTAATACTACTATAGACTATAGAGATTGATGAATGATTGAAACAATTTGGGTGCATTTTGACTTTTGATTTTATGTTACAAACAACTTGTTTATATTGAATTACAAGGAAGATTTAATCTTTCTCAGTTCTCTTTGATATATTTGAGTCAATACTATTGAAAAGAAACAAAGGAATCATCAATCATCACCCTGTCTAGTGAACTGGTGGTTTCTCTGTTATAACCTAAGGCTTCAGTTTGTGCATTATTATGTGGGTCTGTTCTAGCCTCAACTCAACTTGTATGGTGCTTATGATGCAATTTGCTAAGATGAATAGCAGCCAAGGGCGGAGCTGAAGGGAGGGGCAAGGGGGTTCAATTGAGTTGTGGAAAACATTTCTGTACAAATAAGGCAAAAAAAGAATTTTTGGGGCTATATATGAATCGCTGAACCCCTTATGTTACATCAAATGAAGATTCTAGTGAAGTGGTAAAAAGGGATTGAAGAATTGCTTTAGGTCGTACATTCAAATCCTAGGCGTGAGTTATGACACTCCAGTATTGTTTGAATTCCCTTATATAAAGCCACTGACAGTAGCAGCCTGTGAATTGCTTATAGAAATCATGCTATACAGCACTAAAAAGGATAACAGAGGATAATATTGAAGCGGTGCAGGATATGATAAAATTTAGAGAAACACTAGTCCTTATTTGTTTCAACTGAGGATAAAATAATCATGTTGAAGGATGATGTTTAGTCTTTGCTTTTAGTCTGATCCATTCTGGCCTTTAAGGTATTAAAGATGGCCAAATAATGAGTTGGAATATCTGGGTTTGTTTTAGCATGTGGTTTGTTGAATAATCCCTAATAGATGGATGCAACAGATCCAGATCCTGAGAGCATAGTTAGTCAATATTGGGGTCTTATATTATGTTGTCCACACTTTATATGTTCATCCTTGAGCATGTGAGGGTGTTAGATTTTCCCATGTTGATGGAGGGAATGGATTCTTATCTCTGTAAGTGATCTGGCAATCGTCACCTCATTAGCTATCTTTTAGAGCTCAGTTAAGCCCAAGGGTGTATCTTCTTAACAGCATCTCACTTACAAAGATAATGCTAATCCAAACACCCCACAAAATCACTACACACAGAGAAGATGTGAAGCCTGTAGGAAGAGACTACTGCGGGGAATATTGAACATTGCGTGCCACTTTATTCAGAGCTGCTACCTCCAACTACTAATGATTTTTTTTTTGGATGAAGTAGGATGATCTCATTAAAAACATCACAAAGATGGAAATTGTACAAAAGAGTGAGCACTAAACAAAAAAGCTAGGCCAAGACTAAAGAGCTGATAAAATCCAAAAGATAGCAAAAAATCTGATGCAATGGGGCATTATTGGGAAAAGGGTAAGAAATACCTCTCAACTTTGTTTTATTGGTTGAGTTTACCCTTACCGTTAAAACAAAGTTATTTTTACCCCTGCCGTTACTAATTTCACCATATGTACCCTTCAATTGACGGAAAGCCCCAAATTGACTCAAATTAATCCGAATTTTAAAACAAACCCATTCCCCATATTAAACCCAATGCTAACCTAAAACCCATTCTCCTTTACCCATTACACTAAGAGAGCATAAGATTCATTCCTTCTGAGTAATCAACTGCCGAAATAAGCCTCGAAGCTCCAACGTCGGCGCAAAATCGCCAAAATCATCCACCACATCGTCAGACTCAGCTTCTGCAAAACAGCACACCTTGGCCCTTACCATCAATCTCAATATGGCCATCTTCGTCCCTGCACAGCCTCCCACCCATCGGATAAAACGGCAGTAGGGCTTTGCTTAGTACCTCCTTAAGCACCTTTCCGTCAAAAAAAATTGGGGATCCTGTTGGGCTATAGAAATAAACACTAGTGTGGAAATTAGGCACCACCAAATCCACAGTAGAGTTCCACAACCTCAGTTGCGCTCCGTCACCGGCTACACCATCGTCGATTTTCCCATAGAGTTCCACAACCTCAGTTGCGGCGTCTCCGTCACCGGCTACACCATCGTCAATTTTCCCACCTCGATCTTCATCGTTGATCAATCAACTCTGTTTCTAAAATGGAAAACACACAAAAAATTCTCTAAAATTACGATCGAAATTACAAATTATTTATTTTCAGTTACCCACTATGAATGTGATATGCTACCAACTTTCATTGTTAAGTGTTAACTATCCATTAGCATCATAAAATGAAATTAACTCAATAGAAAATGACTTACCTTGTGAGAAGAGAAGGAGCATGATATTGTAGTTGAGCTTTTTTGCCTCTTAGTTAGGGGTGATAACTGATAAGAGGGTGTTTCAACCGAGGAAGGAGATGAAGAAATGGGTTTAGGGTCTTAATTTGGTATAGTGTTTCAATTGATTGAGGAAGGAGATGAAGATTAGAGAAATGGGTTTAGGGTCTTAATTTGGTATGAATTCATGGGTCAGTTCGGATTAAAAGAGAAAATCGGGTCATTTTAATTGATTTGGGGCTTTCCATCCATTTGAGGAGTATAAGTGACAAGTATAGTAACGGCGAGAGTAAAAATAACTCAATTTTAACGGTAAGTGCATAATCAACTAATAAACCAAAGTTGAGAAGTATTTTTTACCCTTTTCCCTTAAGAAATTGGTTCCGTTAGATTCAAGACACATATATAACATCTGTTGGCCAGTTGAAACTTTCTTCTATTGATAGTCTTGTGTTAGGTTGAAAATGGTACAGTTACGAAAACATACGGACAAAAAAAGTAATAAATTCGACCAAGAGACAACGATTAAATGAAGAACCAAAAGCACTGAGTAGACAAAAGATAGAAGGAGATGCATACATAAAAGAGAACACCACATTTGAATTCTGATGAAGCCATTGTAAGCAGCACTGTATTAACACTATGAAGAAACAAAATACCCTCAAGTAGAATATTAAAAAAAAGTATGTATTTTTTGTTACTAATAATTAAAAAAATTTAATAGTTTGTTGCTAATCTCTTACTAATTATTATGCACATATTTTTGAAATTCTATTATTGATGTAATTATAATAAAAATCGTAGACAATTAAATTTACAGATATTTTTTACTTCTTAATTGATCTAATTCACTTCAATTTGAATCAACCATGTTTTAGTATTGACTTTGTAAGATTGTCTTCAATTTTTTGAGATGTTTTATTAAACATTTCAAACTCAAACTAATTAGATTAACAAATAATTATATCTTAAAAATTATTGTCTTTAACTTTGAAGGTCTTCTAAAGGTAACCATCACTATAATATTGATTTTTGTAATTAAAAGTATTACGAAATAATACATAAGTAAAAAAATGATACTCTAATTGTCATATTCAATGAAGTAAAATCTTAATTTTATTTTTAAACTCTTTTAGAATAGTTTTGATAGTTTATGTAATGATTGATTTTATTGAAAAGCTTTCAAAACTATAATCAATAAAAGAGATTTAAAGATGTGTGTTGTTATGTAACGTACAATAATTTATATATGTTTATTTTTTTCTTACAAAATATTAAGAAAAAATTAATTATTAAATTATAATCAATTACAATATTTCTTTTAACATTTATGATAATAAAATATATAATTTTTTTAAATCAAAGTATATTTTGATTCGAAAAGTTGAACGTTATTTTAAATTCAATATGAATTGTTATGTCTTTTTTTATAGGAAAAAAGCAAAAAATAATAATATGTATATCAAAAAAGAGAAAATAGCAAAAAAATAATAATATATATATCCAAAAAGAGAAAATGGAAACGCAAGGCGAAAGTTATAATTTGTTGATGCCATCTTTTATACATTTCATTATTTTCTGCAAATTGAAAGTTTTAGAAAAAATAGGGGAAAAGGGTAAAAAATACTCCTCAACTTTGGTTTAATAGTGACGTTCTTATCGTTAAAATGAAGTTGTTTTTATCCTCGCCGTTACTAATTTCATCATTTGTGTCCCTATGTGGACAAAAATCTCAAATCAACTTAAATTGATCCGATTTTAATTGAAATTTCTCAATTATCTATTCTAACCCTAATTCAAACCCGACCCATAATACTAAATAACAAATAACAACAAACCCCTCTTTTTTCTCTCTCAGTAACTTGTGCACACAAAAAAGCTTAGAGCATCAATACACAATGACTTCTTTTTTGCTCCATCAATAAAGTTCATATGATTACCAAAATTAGGGGTGTCAAATGGGCGGGTTGAGTTAAAATTGGAGATATTAAAATGGGTTGAGATAAAAATTGGATTGGGTCTTGACCCGCCCAAGTTTACTTTGGACTCAAATGGGTTGGGTTCAAATGGGTTAAAAAATGGGTTGGGTCTTGACCCACCCAATTTGACCCGATTAATCTCAATAATTTTAACATAGTGATATTTAACTTTTATAATCACAATTTCGCTCAAGTTTTTTTTTTAAAAAAGTAACAAAGGATATAAAAATCCTAAAAGATGTTAAATAGATAATAATTCATACCTTCAATATAGGAACATATCTTAGTAAAGAGTTTTAAAACGGATTGAAATTGGAGATTGAATTGGGCTCGAATTCTCTTAAAATGGAACAAGTGAGGGACTCTTCCTCCGATTCCGACGAACCGGCACAAATCTATTTGAACCAACCATCGGCAATTTGAAATCGCTCAAGGGTCGACGAACCGGCACAAATCCGTTTGAACAAACCATCGGCAATTTGAAATCTCTCAAGGGGTCGCCGGAGTATATGGAAACGCTATCAAATATATTCTAATGGTGTTTTTTTTATTTATTTCATCATCATCTACGGAAAGTCAGAAATAAGAAAAAACTATCAACAGCTTCTAATCTAAATGTTTGAATCCAAAAGCATCATACACTACTAGGAAAGTTAAGAAAAACGTAAGTATCAGGAGCAAGGAAAAAAAAAAAACCCCTACAGAATCCAAGTCTTTTACCATTGTTGTCTAATACAACATCAAATAGTTCACCCTCTAAAATCTTCCTAACATTTGCATAGGGATGGCAATGGG